ATTGGAGGGTGCTGTACGCCTGCATTCGCGACGGGCAGCATGGCGGGTCGTGATCCAGGCTCGACAGAAATGATGGTTGTCGTCTTTTGGGGAGCGTGAAGGGGCCGAGCTAGTAGTGGTCTTCTTTCATCCACACTTGATAGATCTGCTTCTTCTCGTTCCCTCTCCCATCTGTCCTCTTCTTCATCAGCGACTGTTTGCCTGGAGCTCCGACCGCAGGTGCCACATCTTTCCGGGCAACTCTGTCCTATATTCAGGCTGAAGCTTCAATGGACATTCATACAGGAAGAAAACAGTCTACTCACGAACTGTTGAACAATCAAAGCAGATGCCAGCGCAAACGTCCAGGCATCCCACGCAGCAAAAAACTAGGATTTCAGATAGAGCATCAGACATTTGAGATCACGCAGGACTCTGGTGAGCCCAGTTAGCTTTGTGTTTCAAAAGCCTCAGAAATGTTGACCATCGAACAGTCCAGTCTTAAGCTTGAGCTTGAGCCTCGAGTATGATGGGACGAGCGAACTGGAGGAGTTGTTTACGTCATCTAGGGCAGGACGGTTCGGACTTTCAACGGTAACATTTGCTTCCGTCTCCCTGACCTCATCGTTGGGCACATTTTCAAGGCTACCTTCGAGCGCGTGCCTATAATTCAGGCAGTGTGGAATATTGCGGTATAGAAGGACTTTACACAAGTATTTGATCCAATTTTCGGGCGAAGTTCGTGTTCAAGAATTTAATTTGACCCGTATGCGTTCACGTTCGTTTTCAGGCGCAGTAAGAAATTGATGTATAGTGGATCCAGACTCATCACGCTTGCATTATCTTCCGACTGTGATAAGGAAGCGTCAAAGGCTATATCACAGTCATGAGTCTGGCTGGCCTTTTGGCTACCTTTGACACTCTGGCACGGTGTCTCGACGACTGACAGCACCCATCTTGATTGCTGGGCGTATCCGTTCAAGAGAATGGGAAGATTAACTGCATTCAAACCTTTCGTCGTCTTCTTCCAACGCCTCATGCCCAGCTCATGAGGTCGCGCATGATGCAGTCTCCGTTGATTCCGTATCAAGCAATGTCAACTATACTAGACCCTTCGCGGAGCCACACATGATGCGCTCATTCCCTGTGCCGCGATTCAAATCTTTGGAATTTAGATGAACATGGAAGGAAATACTCCTCAACTCCATCCCACGTCTGTGACTCGTGATACGGCCTTATCTACCCCTGGCCCCTAAAACGAGCATCTCCGCGACCCGGCAACCAGACATATACCCGGATGTCATCAATCGCCGCGTTCTCTCACCCGTTATTTGGCGTCCTGCGCTGAATTAAAATCCAGCCATCTGTTCTTCATCGACCTTTCAACGATCCTGGTAGCTTGAAGCATGCCGGAGACTCGCAGATTTTCGAGGATGACCTGGGCGCTGATTCCTGGGCCCAGGGTATTCCAAACTCGTACTGACTCTCTCAGTGTGGGCATGCCCTTTCAGCGTGTTCCGCTTCGAGAACCCATGAATGACGACGTTCCAAGATCTCATCATGATCTAGTTCAATGGGAATGCTATCTTCGGCATCTCAGTTCGCTCTCGGAAGCATTCCACTACGCCTTATAAAGGCACTCAATTCAGCCCGCTCTTCACTACAATCGAGAGCCTCCAAACATGGCTGAAGAATCCTTCATTCCTACCCACGGGAGAAACACCAACCATAACGTCTTCGCTCAACGAGGACGCTATATCCAAAAGAAACATATCACCGAGCTCGAACGACATCCCGCGTTCCGTAACCTGCCTGCCTTGGAGAATCTCAAGTCTCAACTTCGAGATTCACGTCTGCATAAGGTTCCTTACATTCGTGCCGACCCCGATGCGCGCGATGATACGAGCTCGGACTCGAGCAGCTCTGATGAGTCTGCGCATGTAGTTGGGATCATTGGGGCTGGCATGGCGGGCTTATACACCGCTATGATACTCAAGTCTCTGGGAATCAAATATAAGATCCTTGAGGGCAGTGATCGGTTGGGAGGACGGATGTTCACCCATCATTTCCCAGGAACAGGAAAATATGATTATTATGTGCGTCATCTCTTCGTATTCGGGTATATCGTATTGGACTAAACAGGACTGTGATAGGATGTTGGTGCTATGCGCTTTCCCGATACTCAGTGGATGAAACGTACCTTCGACCTCGTCCGCAACCGAGGTCTTCAGGGCCTCGAATTCATCCCATATCTTCTCAAATCCGACCATACATTCAACTGCTACAACGGCAGCTCCGTCGTCGACCTATCCAAAGACCCCGTCGACCCGTTCAAAGTATCTACGTACGTTTCGACGAGCGACTATGCAAATCCGTTGAAGGCGCGGGCTATCATCGGGGATGCCCTCGAGGAGCCTCGACAGCTCTTCAGAGATAACGATCTCGAGACGGCCATCAAGCTTTTGTTCGAGCAATACGACTCGTATTCTATGAGGGCTTGGCTACTTGTGAAAAACCCGACTTTGACCAGCTCCGATCTTCATTGGATCCAGACTGTCGGAGCGTCTACGGGGACGTTCGATCGCGGACTTGCGGACGTCGTCTTGGATTCGGTCGCCTTTGATTATCCGCAGGACCAGAGCGGCGGAAATGCGCAGCCGATTCAATGGTCTTGCTTCAAGTACGCATTCACGACTTCCTATTATAAAGTAATATCTAACGATCCTGCAGCGGAGGATCGTCTACGCTTCCCGAGGCAATGCGCAAGTCGCTCAAGGGCGACGCGGACGACGACAAGGACACGCTGCAGTTCAAAAGTCTCGTTACGGCCATCTCCGAATTCGATCAAGGAACCATGCTCGTCACATACAACAAAGACGGCAAAGAAGTATCGGAAGAGTTCTCAGCCGTGATTTGCACCATTCCGCTTCCTCGTCTGAGCTTCGTCAATCTTCATAATACTTCCATGCTTCAGGCGAACTATGCGCAGTGGAGTGCTATTCGGGAATTGCGTTATGGTATCTCGATCAAGATTGGTATTCGGTTCAAGACTGCCTGGTGGGAGACGCTGGATTCGGGTATTATCAAGGGCGGTCAAAGTAAGCATTTATCACTATTGTCGTTCTTCGTTATTTTGAGCGTAAGATTCTAGGCAACACCGATTTCCCAATCCGAAACATGTGAGCCACCAGTCATCATTCATTATCCCGAAGGCTCATCCCATTTCGCCAGCGTCTATCCTTCATACCCCGCCGGCGATAGCAAGGCAAAAGTGATCATCGTGAGCTACTGCAAATCCGCCGACGCCGATCGCATGAGCGCCTTCATCGACAAAGACGGTACCGCGGATCCGATCCTCATTGATCAAGTTTTCCGCGATCTCGCCAACGTACACAACGTCACCCTTGAATATCTACAAGCCCGATTCGACGATACTCCCTCCAAGAAAAATTTCCACGCGTGGAATTGGCAAGCTGATCCTTTTGCTGCAGGTGAGAGCTTCGCATGCCTGATTGGTTGGAATGTGGCTGATTTGGCTTTGAAGGCGCATTTGCATTCTTTACTCCCGGACAGTATTCTGATCCGATCTATGAGAGAATCAGAGCTCCCGCTGCCAACGGAAAGCTCTTCTTCGCAGGAGAACATTGCAGTGCATGTCATGCGTTCGTCTTGCCCCTTATCAGTACGACATCTCATCTGACAGATTTGCAGTTGGGTTGCTGGCGCTCTGGAAAGCAGCTGGGTCTCAGTGTACAGCTTCCTCAAATTATGGAATGTGGACAAGGTCGATGATTTCAAGAAGAAATGGGGTAGCACGGAATATTGGGATGAGGATGTGGACGAAGAGGAATTCGATGTCTTGTTTGATAAGGTTTTGAGGCTTGGCATTAGGCCTTATGTCGGGAGCACCATCATCTCTCCGAATAAGCCGCAGTCTGGAGTGAAAGGTTTCTGAACGTGTCATTCGTGTATCGTACAGTATCAGGCAGATTCGGAAGATCGATAATCATGTTCCCAGTCGTAATGGATTCATCGACAATACAAGTCGACGTTTCATTCTGCCACAAATCGGCTACTTCAATTCAGAATAGAAAGTTCCCGTTATCTCTCCCTGTGTCTGGTTAGCCAAAGCAACTGATCAGAAGTATATCTAACGCACCCCAACGAGAAGCTCCGATGTCACAGCTGCAAACGCCTGGAAAGGAGCACCATTAAAGTGTGCTTTAAAAGCCGCTAGATCTTCATATCTGCATGCCATAGCGGCAGAAAGAGATGAGATGAGTGACGTCTGTGAGTCATCAAGGCAAATCTGGGATGATACCCACTCTTCGAACACCTTGAACTTCGTCCCGTATTGTACGACACGATATGTGTGAGTACCAGGCTCTGCATCAGATTCTGCTGCCTTCCGGATTATTGTCAAGTGTCTAGCGACTTCGGACTCTTTGCCGACCAAAGCTTCCGCCTGGATAGATTACGTCGAGAAGGCCTTTCTGTAAATCGGGTGAAGGGTAACAAGGGCGAGTAAACTGACTTGTGCGACGCAGATAATACGCCCTGATGTGATGGCGTCGGGGCTGGTACTCATGAGTAGGCACTATGCAGAGAATGCGTTGACCGGGTCTGAGATGGTCGGGGAAATGATAGAGCGGCTCCCCGTTGAACTCCACAACCATCAAACCCGCTGCTTGCACATGCAGTTCATCGACAATCTTTCCTATGCTATTTTGAGTCACATCCAGTGAGCTGAAAGCCGAGTATTGAGTGGTGAAATTTTCTCCCCATCCGCCACCATCCAAGGCAGGGCTAGGCGGAGTTCAGAAGAGCCAGATTTTTCGCTCGACGGTGTATGGGCAAAAATTCAGAAATTCACCAGACCGGGTTACTCATCTATGATTGGAACGGAACGAAACACCCGGAAACCCCCACAAATCGTTATATGAACGAGAATGAGTTTATGCCTAGACAGGTGGCGGCCCATTGGCGGGATAAGCAATGAATTGACACGCACCAAAAATAGCTTCCGAAGCGGGGAATCGAACCCCGGCCATGACGGTGAGAGCGACATATCCTAGCCATTGGACCACTTCGGACACATGATCCCTAGGGGAAAACAAACAATATAAAGCCATTGCACTGTCCGACAACATTGCACACACTGTGCATCCGAAATCCGCCGAGTCGTCGTTGCCTGCGAAGGTTCCAGCGTAGGCCAACAACTTCGCTGGACCAGCCTTTCCGTACTGGACCAAGACACGTCGAGAATGTCGACTGCAACATCGAGTCGAGGTGGCTCCTCCAAGCCACCGCAATCCAGGAACAAAACGTGGACGAAACCAGTCACCATTTCATCCGCTCCTCCCTTCGCTCCGGCGCCCTCAGCCACGATTCCTGATGGCGGGGAGAATGTTGACGAGGACCCGAACCTTCCAGGAAATCATTGGAGACAAGTAAGTCGTGCTAACTTTCTCGGCATTTCTGTTCAAGAGGCTCCTTTCAGCTGCAACGCGCCCGAGAAGCGGAACGCAAATGGGCCATAGAGAAGAAGTTGATGCCAGATCCTGACGCAAGATACAAGATTGAAGATGCTATCACGATGAAAGGAACATGCGAAGATATGTGCGCGGAATATGAGAGACACGAGAGAGAAGCCAAGGCGCTCATCGACCCATGGGAATATGTATGTGCCTACTGCCTAGATTGATATTATTCAAGCCCTCATTCGTGGATAGGTTGGCGGTCCCTCAAGTAAAGCTCGGCCCAAACGAATCGACCACGCGTTGGCTGTGCGATGCTATCAGCGTGGCGTGGGCGACCAAGCACTGCCATCTGACCTTCGAACGCCTGCTGCTTGTCTTCGCACAGTGGACTACCTCTTCAACCTGTTTGACACTAATTCTCTCCCTGCGACGCACGCATTTATCAGAGATCGTACAAGATCCGTGAGACAGGATCTGAGACTTCAGCGAATTGAAGATGATGTAGCGAAGCAAATCACTGAACGTTGTGCCAGGTGCGTGTCCCTCTACCAACAGCTCTTCCACTTCATCTCATCAATTCCAGGTTCCATATCATGTCACTGCATGAACTCCGTGAGCTACCGAAGGACAGGTTCGACCCATCCATCGAAGCGACTCAAATCGGTCAAAGTGTGTCCTCAATACTCCCACATTATCCACGAAATTCATTCCAGCAGCTCTTCAGTCACTAAAAGAGTTACCTGGTACTTTCTCTCCAGAGTTCCGGAGCTACTATTCCATCTTTCACATCAAGAATGAGCCACCAGAGGCTCCGCCTGATTCGATGCCATCTTTGACTGCCACTTTCGCGGTGGCATTTCACGAAGAAGTCAAGAAGGCTAGTCCTGCCTTCAATCGGAGAAGTGAAATTAAGGTCGGCACCGAGGGAGTCGAGCTGTTCAATCAGTTCGCTTCCCGTATGCTTGATGGTGGACCGCAATTGGCGGGTAACTTCGAGGACAGTAAGAGCGCAAAGTGGAGAAGAGCTACTGTATTCCTCATTTCATGCCTTTTGGAATTTCACTTCGGATCAGGTTGCGTCGCTGGGATAGAGGAACGTCGACAGGGGCTTAGCAATCTGGACATCGTGAATTCCGATCTCGGAGACGAACCTATAAACCACCAGTCCTCTCCAGCACCCCTGGCAGATCGATCCCAGGCGGACGCATCGTCAGCGCCCACGACTTCACTTCCTACAGCCTCTTCGCCTTTCCAAACGCCTGCTCCACCCGCTGCACAAGCATCCGGCATTCAAGGCTTTTCGACATTCACTTCACCCTTCGCCTCAGCAAGCAATACATTTGCATCCCCTTTCTCTAAGAATACCACCCAACAACCCGGTCCCTCCATTCAATCAGTATTCGGCAATTCAGTCTCATCATCCCCCTTCGCATCATCCTCGAAATCCGTATTCGCCCCGCAAGCTGCTTCTTCGTCCGCGTTCGGTTTCAAATCTGCTTTTGGAACTGGGGTTAATGGGTCGAGTTTGAATCCTGCGGCGGCGGCGTTCTTGCCTTCGTCGTCGTCCTCGGGGGAGAAACTGTCTTTTGGGTACTCCGATGATCCAGTTGTGGCTTCACCTTCTCCTGTTCCCGGTGGTGCGGGATCATCTACTTCCTCAAATGTTAATACCGCCACTTCCGGATCTGTCTTCGCCAGCAACGCGCCAGTTGAGCCGCACCCCGTACAACCGTCCGGCTTTAGCATCTTTGGAGCCTCACGACGTGAAGAAGGCAATCCAAGCCCACCCATATCTCAACCCCTACTGGAACCTCAGCCTTCACAATCAGCTCCGGAGTCAACACCATCTAAATCGGGTGCTTTCAGTCATCCTCCAGTATCACCCCCTAAACCACTATCGTTTCCTACTGCTCCATCCTCAGCTTTCACTCCTCTACTAAAGGAGAGTGCGTCTGCATCAGTACAGCCGGATCCTCTCAATAGCTCGTCATTGTCGTCTAATCATCTGCCGAGCTTCCCTTCTTCATCGAAGGGCTTTTCAGGGGGGTTCACCCCTCAGCCTTCCTTATTCTCCACAAGCGCATCTGCGTCCTCGTCACCAACACCTTTCCCGACCCCTTCCACCTCCCTCTTTCCACCCACTCAAGTTCCGCATAGTTCAGAACCCCCCAAAGCCCAACCTCCTCCATTTCCCTCATTCACTTCGCCTTCTGCATCCGCACCTCCTGTTGTTGAAGACGATGTTCCACCAGCCGATACGGTGCTGACTCCTTCGTCTGCTTCGAAAGGCAAGGAAAGAGCAACAGATCAAAATTACACGAAATACTCGCACGCATTATTCGACTTGATGATCACATCAGTCACAGCTTCAACCGCCGCCGAAGCTCTCGCCGCAGAGCTGCATTCGCGTCACCAACAGCGCGTTCTCAAAATGGCACTGTCGAAATGGGTCGATCGAGCGATTCAGAAAGCGGAGAGGTGGGCGGCGAAAGTCGATCGTAAGACGGGGGTTAAGCGGGAGAGGGTTATGAGTGTCAATGGCCAGAGCTCGACGAATGGAGTGTATAGCCATGGAGATGGACCTTATCAGAATTATCGAAGGATTAGGAGGCGAGTTGGGGAAAATGTGGATCTTATGGATGCGCTCAAAGAGGTACGCTCTCCAGATCATCGAAGCGTTATTCTGTTTCTGATCAGCTTCTTAGCGCGAAGATCGTCGGGCTCGACATTGGTCAGCCGGAACCTTCTTAGAAGTCGTGAGAGGTCGAGTGGAAGGCGATAGCAGCTCGAATTCGGTGGAGGATCATCACTTTTCACCTGGATCTTCTTCTTCAAAGAGTGCCCGTGGACTTAACGACAGCACCGCAGTTCCTCCTCTCCCTATGGACTGGGAGATCTGGATGTCATTGAATGACGAAAACGAACAAAGTGCTCTTTGGCTCCGGACGAAATTCGATCAAAGCTCAGAAGCATCCGATCACGGTGTATTGCGAATACCTTTGTACGACACTCAAGACACCGCTGATGGCTCTCCGGGACTGTTAATCTTTGAATGCACGCCGATGGCTGAAGGAGTGAGCGGCCACGAACGGTGAGTGTCAAACACTTCATGCCAAGTATCTTCTAATATCCCCACCAGTTCCCGTATCATTCAAAATGATGCAAGCCGACTCTCCTCGTTCTTGTCCAGTGTTCCCTCTGATCGAATCTATTCGACTGCGTTGATCGTCATAACTTGGACTTCCGACATGATCAAAGATTTACCTGTACCACTTGCAGCTGCGGTTAGTGTTATGATTTTATACGTTGAAAAGCATCTCATGAGGCGATCAGATCAATCCTTTCCTTGACAATGGAGTTTTGCACGATCGCCGAATTTTGGGATTAGGCGGACTATCGGCAAAGGTCGATAGTCATGATGCTTTCATTGATATCATGGAAGCTATTCCGTTGGATATAGCTGGAAGCCTTTCGCAGCGCTTTTCTCCATCTAGTGAGTACCCGGCTGCATACAAATATTGTGACTTGCTAATGTGCGTCGCAGATCTGATAAAATATCTCGCTCAGCCTTGGATCAGTACACTAGAGGCCGCGCAAGGCCTGTGTCTTGGTATGGATTACGGTATGTATAGCCCATGCGATCTCCTGCGTACATGATGACTCATGCTGTCCCTTGTCAGGTCGTCATTCTATGAACGGTTACGTTCTCTCGGCCATGCTTTCCCTCCTGGACCGAGTAGCCGATGCTATCCAGCGAGTCTCTGGCGTTGACCCAATACCTACACCCCCCTCGCTGACTGTCCGAGGGTTTGACGACAATGCGTATGTCTATCACCTCTATCGTGATGACGTCATTGATTTTTGCGTACAGGTCGAGCTTTGCAGCTGTGCTAAGATATATGGAGAGTCCTTATTTCTCCGCAGACCCCGACGCAATCGGTCTACGAGACTCTTTAGTCGAAGCTTTGCGGACTAATGAAGGTGTGATAGCTTTTCTACATGTCGGTTCACGTCCCCGCTTATCTCCGTGCCTCCAGAATTCCCAACAGGCGCCATTGCGAGAGGAATAGCCCAAATACTAAGCAATAGGCTCGAACATGCACTCAAAGCACACGCGGAGAGCTACCGAATCTCACGTCATCGTCTTCAAATGGCACTGCAATCCGTGGAGAATTCTTCCAAGAATACATTATCAGATCTACAAGCTCAGCGTCGGACCATGGGAGTACAGACGTGGCAGACTGCTGCGCGACGCAAAGTAGATGAGACAGCGCCCGTCGTGAATGGCCGATCGCCTCCTAAGTGCGTAATCTGAATTTATATGTCGTATTTTCCCCTGACGCATTACTCAGGAGAGTCAGATATTCCGAGCCCGACGCACCTCCTCCAGTCGAATCAACCCCTCAACTGGATGCCACATCCACACCACCTACGGCGCTGGCGGCTCCTCCGGCTCATTCTCGGGTTGAACCTGATCGACCGCTTACATTGGAAGATCTTCAACCCCTACCGGTGGAGGTCTCCAAGAACGAAAGTGGCCCTTCCGCCTCGTTATCGCATGTCTCATCTCTCCGGTTCCGCGCTCAGAAAATTCTCGAGAAATATCGGAAGAA